GGTCCTGTATACTTTTCCTCATTTCATCATGATGTCTAGCTGAGTTTTCTTGTATCTCATTCAGTTTCCTTAGAATTATCACTCAAAATTCCTTGTCAGTCATTTCAAGGGCTTCTTGTTCTATAGGATCTAGAGCTTGAGATTTATTACCTTTGAGTGGTGTACTTTCTTGATTTTTCGTATTTGTGGTGTCTTTTCTTTTATGTTTATTCATTGTGGTGGGAGGTTTCACAGTCCACAGGTTTGACACTATTGCCTGACTGAGATGTTGCTGGGGTTGCCAATTTGGTATGGCTACCTAAGTGACTACTCAGTTGGCCACTAGTGCCGCACGTGTGTGGTTACCTTGGGTCTTGGGCCTCTCCGAGGAGCCACCTCTCTGGTTAGCTTGGACTCTGCCGGGCTGCTGGGTGACGGGGCGGTACTGCAGGGTGTCGCTCCTGCCACTGCCAGTTCCCTGCTGCTGCCGCTGCCGCCGCTCATGAGTCTGATTCCTAGTCCGTCTGAGAAGTTCCTACTCTCTCTAATAGATCCTTAGAAGCATCTTTCTCCTCTTTGGGCTTGGTCACCTTTCCACTCATAGATCCCAGCTTGCTTGACAAGGTTCGCCCAGGAGACGGAAGTCCTCGCCGAGTGGGCCGGACTTGGGAGAGTGCTTAGGGTGGCAAGTCGCGACCGCCAGCTCCCCTTAGTGTGGCTCGGGGAAGAATCCACTTTTGCCCACTGCTGCCACCACTGCCGCTGCCTCCTCTGTCTCTCCCTACACCCACAGCCCGCTTCCTCGCTCGTGCTCTGCTTCCAAAAAACTCTCGGGTCCCAGAGAGCTGAATGGTAAGGCGTCTGGCTCTCTTGTCCTATTCAACTTAGAGTACTTGAACAGCTAGGCAGCTATCTGCATCTCTGCTACCCAAGGGAAGACACTGGAGAAACTGACCAGCCTCGGATGACATCTCCCTTTTTCACAAGTCTCAGTCCAACTGGGCTAGCTTTGGCGAGGGGACAGAGCCGGATCAGGAGTAGCTGCCGCCATATCAGGTAGGGGAGGGTGTGGGTCTAAAGGAGATTCTTAAAACAGAAAAGAATTGATAAGGAATCCAGGAACACCTAGAAGGTGTATGTAGCAGGTACTAACTTTGCTTTTGTTGTTATTATTTATTTTTCAAAATTGACAAATAAAAATTATATACATTTATGGCATACAACATGATGTTTTGAAATATGTATACACTCTGGAATGGTTAAATCAAACTAATTATCATATGCATTACCTCACATATTTATTATTTATTTGTCATGAGAACATTTAAAATTTATTCTCTTAGCAGTTTTTAAGATAACAATACATTATTATTAACTATAGTCACCATGCTGTACAATAGATCTCTTGAACTTATTCCTCCTAACTAAAATTTTATATCCTTTGACCAACATCTCCCCAATCCGCCCCCACCTCCCCACCTGCGAGCCTATACTCTGCCTCTATGAGTTCAACTTTTTTAGATTCCACGTAGAAGTGAGACAATGTAGTATTTGTCTTCTGTGCCTGGTTTATTTCACTTAGCATAATGTCCTCTAGGTTCATCTATATTGTTGTAAATGACAGAATTCCCTCTTTTTAAAGGCTAAATAGTATTCTATTGCATTTATATACCACATTTTCTTTATCCATTTATGGATTGATGGACACAGGTTGATTCCATATCTTGGCAATTGTGAATAATGCTGCAATGAACCAGCCATCCCTGTATAGGGATCTGAACCCATGGCCTTGGTGTTATCAGCATCACACTCACCCAAGTGAGCCATGGGCTGGCCCCCTAACTGCTTTTTATTTATTTATTTTTAAATTTTTTTTGTCCTTTTTTGTGAATGGCCACACCACGCTCAGCCAGTGAGCGCACTGGGGCCATCCCTATATAGGATCTGAACCCGCAGCGGGAGCACTGCTGCGCTTCCAGCATCGCACTCTCCCGAGTGCGCCACGGGGTCGGCCCCCTCTAACTGCTTTTTAATGAACCCTTTACCAGCTGGCCAACCAAGCCCCATTTCTTGATCAATGCATCTGATTGGAAATACCATACCTGTAGCATATTAAATTATGTTAATGTCTGGGTCTGCTCATGAGCTTTCTACAGAAATCTTTTAATCTGCATGTCAACCACTCTACCCAATGTTTATAAAACCATAGGTTCATGGAACACTGTAATATCTGGCAGTGTAATCCTTATTCCTATTATTTCCCTTTTGGATGGGTCATAGAAATAACAACAACAACAATAATATAGTCAATAATAAAAGACATCAACATGATCATGCTACCAGAAAATAAAGTTTCCCAAGGTTAAATCCTGGTCCTTCTCAGCCCAAAGCCCATGCCCTTAACCACTGTTTCTGTATTGAGTTTCTGTATTTCTGTTAGACCACACACCAACGAAGGGAAAGAACAACTAAGTTATTGTGGTCAGTTGATGGGTCTAACACATGTGATGCAGGTCTGATGACTCCAGTTTTCATCTAACCAAGCCGTTACTATGTTTTGCTCTTCTGAAATATTTCCTTCGTAAGATCAATAAGAAATTGCTTTACCCATATCAAACTAGTATGAAAATAAAGAGAGGAAATCATGTAGAAAAAAGGAAATAATGAGACGGAACCAAAATTCACTTCTTGCTGCTAAATATCCAAATGCTGTTTCAAATCTTCTATTTAATGGGATAGAGCAGGCAGGGTGGGATGCTAGTAACACATTCTAAATCCTGCTATGTGCCAGATATACTTTTTGGTCTCTTTTTCTTCTTACTAGTTTGTGAAGAAGCCACCCTTAGTCCCAACTTACAGATGACCAAGCTCAGACACAGAAGATAACTAAATTTTTCAGGAGCAAATATCTACACCCTGCCTTCTTCAGTGGCCAAGTAGCAGCCTTTCATTTAGACAACGGTACTTCAGAGCTTAAGGACTGATAGTGGAAAACTTCCCCACTTTGGAATCTGGGCTGGGTCATGCCTCCATTGGTAATCACCACCCCTTCTGTTGATAAAGACGATGGTGGGGATGGAATCCTGTCCTGTGAGCCAAGAGGCCTGGGTGTGGGCACCACATGGATTGGCCAATTACTGATATGTTGAACTGGACCCAGGAAGCAGCACAAGCTGTTGCCCTTTGGAAAGGGAAGCTGAATGATAGGCTATTAACATGAACACAACTACTCTGTGTGTGGTATTTAACATTTCGTTTCACTTTAATCCTAGCAGTTTTACCCAGGACCAAAAATTATCTCCATTAGTTGGATCAGGGAACAGAAATTAAAAGTTAAATAACTCGGCTTAGGGAAACAACCTTATAAATTATTGCCCTATTACTCAAAACCTGGAATTATTGAAAAGATTAAGCTTTTCCTTTCTGTTTTGTGAGCTGATATTGGATATACATTAAGCCATTATTATTCCATTGAACTCTTGAAAACAATGTGCTGAAGTACTTTTTAAATACAAAAAACCATTATAAATTCCATCCATAGCTAAAATAGAAAAAAAAAAAAAAAAGAGTGTGAAAGCTTGGGAGAAATTATTTTCAATTTATATTCAATCATGGATTTTATATTCTTGATGTATGCAGTACTGTTAAACAATAGAGATAGGTCAATGATATCAAGTGACAATGCACATGAAAAGCAATATAAATCCTCCAAAACACTTGGAAACACAATAAAACAAGTAAACAAAATTAAAAGTAACTACATTTAGTCAATCAGGTAAGTCATAAAATTAAATGTAAAATACAGTTTTGTTTTAGTCCTTTTTGTGTTGCTATAACAGAACTACCCGAGACTGGGTGATTTATAAAGAAGAGAGGTTGATTTGGCTTACGATTCTGGGACAGCTGCATCTGGCATGGGCCTCGGGCTGTTTCTACTCATGGAAAGTGGCAGGCAGCTGGCGGGTACAAGCAGATCACATGGTGAGAGGACGTAAGAAAGAGAGGAAGCAAGAGAGAGAGAGGAGGTTCTAGGGTCTTCTAAACAACAAGCTCTCGAGGGAGCTAATAGAGTGAGAACTCACTCATCAATTCCCCCTTCTCCAGGGAGAACATTAATCCATTCATGAGGGATCTACCCCCATGACTCAATCAGTTCCCAACACTGCCACATTGGGGATCAAATTTCCACATGAGTTTTGGAGAGAACTATACATCCAAACTCCATCATTCCGCCCCTGGCCCCCCAAAACTCATGTCACTCTCACATACAAAATACAATCATTCCATCCCCAAAGTCCCAAAAGTCTTAGCTTGCTCCAGCACCAACTTAAAAGTCCAAAGTCCAAAGTCTCTTCTTAGACCCAAAGCAAAAGTCTTTCCAGCTGTGAACCTGTAAAAACAAAACCAAATTTATCTACTTTCAAGATACAATGGTGGAACAGACATTGGGTACACGTTCCCATTCCAAAAGGGAGGAATAGACCAGAAGAAAGGAGAAACAGGCCCCAAACAAGTCTGAAACCCAGCAAGGCACACATTATGTCTTAAAGCTCCAAAATAATCTTCTTTGACTCCAAGTCCTGAATCCTGGACACAATGGGGCATCTGGGCCCCCAAGGCATCAGACAGCCTCACTCCTGCAGCTTTGCCAGGCACAGTCCACTGGGCTGTGCTGGTGCCTGTGGCTTTTCCAGGCCTGCATTGCACATTACCAGTGGCCCTGAAGTTCTGGGGTCCTAGTGGCAGCCCTGCTGCCTTGGCTCTACTCGACTTTTCCCTAGTGGGGACTCTCTGTGGGGGCTCTGACCCCACTTTCCTGCTCAGCATTGCTCTAGTAGATGGCCTCTGTGCTGGCTCTGCCCCTGCGGCAGGTCTCTGCCTGGGCTCCTAGACTTTTCCATATATCCTCTGGAATCTGGGTGGAGGCTGCCATGCCTCCACTGCTTTCATGTCCTGCCGGCCTGCAGACTTAACATAACATGGACACGAGTGGGGCTTCAGGCTTCTACTCTCCAGAGCTGCTGCATGAACCACACTTGGGTGGACCATTTTAGGCAAGGCTGTTCCAGCCAGAGCAGCTGGGATTCAGGGAGCAGGTTCCCAAGGGCAGCTGTGTCCCAGGTCTGTCCTCTGGAACAACTCGGTCTTTCTAGGCCTGAGGGCCTGTGATGGGTGGGGCACCCTTCCAGACTTCTCAAATGCCTTTAGGACATTTTCCCCATTTTCCTGGTTATTAGCATCTGGCTGACTCACCACCAAGGTAATGTCCTTAGCAACCAGTTTATTTGCTTCACCCTTGCATTTTTCTCCAGCTCTCACCTTCTCTACCACATGGCCAGGCTGCAAATTTTCCAAAACTTTATGCTCTGTTTCCCTTTTAAATTCTGGCTTTACATCATGCCTTTGCTGCCATAACTCAGTGTAGGGTGTTGGAAGTAACCATGCAGCTTCCTTAGTGCTTTGCTGCTTGGAAATTTCTTTGGCCAAATGCTCTGGTTCACAACTCTTAAGTCCCACCTTCCACAAAGTCCAAGGACATGCATACAATGCAGCCAAGTTCCTTGCTATGGTGCAGCAAGGGTTATCTTTTGTCCAATTCCCAATAAGTTCCTCATTTCTATCTGAGACCTCATCATCCACATGGTCTTTACTGTCCACATTTCAATCAGCACTCTCATCACAACCATTTAACCAGTCTCCAAAATCTTCCAAAGTTTCCCTCATCTTTTTGTCTTCTAAGTCCTCCAAACTCCTCTAACCTTTGTCCATTACCCAGTTCCAAAGCTGCATCCACACTTTCAGGTATTTGTATAGCAACACCCCACTCTTCAGCACCAATTTTCTATATTAGTCCATTTTGTGTTGCTTATAACAAAAATACACAGAACTGGGTAATTATAAAGAAAAATGACATTTATTGCTTACGGTTTCTGAGGCTGGGAAGTCCAAAGTCCATCTGGTGGTGGTGGCAGTGTCCCAGGGGTCTCACATTGCAAGATGGTGGAAGCAGAGAGAGAGAGAGAGACTCTCCTCTTCTTTTAAAGCTCTCAGAACCATGCCCTGACCACCATTTT